TCTTCTGCCAACAGAGTGACAAAAGCAACTCTACTGAACTTAAGAGGTGAGTTCTTATTTTTGATGGCAGGATTTATGCCTTGGGCTCTCTTCTTACACTTCTCAAAACCCAGCTGGATACTGTGAATTTTGCTTAACAGGGTTTACCTTGTGCTATGTGATATTCCCATCAGAGGCAGAAATTTTATCTCAATAATCCCAATACATGTTATGCTTGGAGATGCATGGACTATTTGGGGGGAGGGGACAAGGGCCATCTAACTAGAATTACCTTCCCGGCAGTTGTAAATTGAGGTGTTTTCTGTTTCTCCTTTCAGCTTATCAAGTTTTGGTTTGGAAATGGATAAATAACTGAGAAATATTTACTCCCAAATCCTCTTCCTGGGGCTCCTGGCTTTCACTAAGCAGAAGCAGTCAGAGTCCCAGAAATGTATGTCTTAGTATACTTTGAACTGCATCTGAAAAACCCCGCTACACATTCTTGTAATTTTTCTGAACACTTTTGTGGCTGTCAGGCACTTGTAAAAAAAAAGACTATAATGATATCGATAAGAGCTATTAGTGTATTTTATAATAAAATAAATCATCAATATAATGTCCTTCCTAAGAATTACAGCCACTCCTTCCTGCCACTACGCTGTTGTGCTAAGGCGTTATCTGCATTCTTATGTCTGGCATTTGCAATTTGTGATGGCATTCAGTCCTCAAACTATCCCTACTCCATGTGCATACATTAAATAAACCTAGATTAGCAAGCATTTTGGAGAGAAAACAGAGCTAGTGCAGTGCAAAGGACTGCACTTCCCTGAGGTCAGGCTCATTTGATAGTAATTATGATCTCCATAGAGTGAGACAAGGAGTGAATAAGATATTTAACACCATGTGCATTGGCTGTGAAAACCTTTTCAACTCTTGCTTTCATCCTCAAGGTTTTCAGTTTTATTAAAAATATATTGGTGTATTTTTAAAGAAATAATGACCCTTCTCTCCATTCACATTTTTTCTTTTCGTTCAGAAACTTTTCTCTGTGTTTTCTCTCCACTTTCCAAGGATGGATGCTCTAGCACCATCTACAGCAGCATCATAAATATCCATTTCCATCACTGGGGCTTCAGTTTCAGTGTACTGAAATCTATCAGCACACTCACACAAGCTGCACTTTGTCTGCATCAGAAAATGGCCCAGAATTTCCTACCCACAGCTATTAGATTCCATTATGTTTTTAATTTAAGAGGTACTTCCTACCTACACATATTCCAGGAAACAGTTTCCTCTGCTATGTATAGGATCAGACCAATCACCATTTTTCTCCACCCATGCATTGTAAATGTTTATATGATTTATGTTACGCTTCTTAAAGTCTCTAGTCAAACTGAGCTGGGGATTGCCCTCACATAAATACATACACATAACCCCTGTTAACGCCAAAAGGAGTTGATAATCTCCAAAATATTGTGCAATAGGGTTCCCTTAATTGACACACAAGCCGTAGAAAATAGTTCAGCATCATGAGTCCCTGAACATCCCCATCAGTTGAAAGATATGGAGGATGCAGGAGCTTCTTCCTGGGAGATAAGAAGATACGCTCCCCACCGGACAGAGAAAGGGATGTAAAGGTACCAATAGAATAGTTTTATCCACATTCCACACACTGACTTAAACTCTTTATGCAACCCTAGAAGAGTAATTTTTTTGTTTTTTCAATTGTACTGCAGCCCAGTGCTTGTTTAATAATGGACACACCCTTATTTATAGCATCAGAAGTTTCTGATTAAAAGTCTAATAGAGGATAGTTATCTATGTAGGTATATGCAGTAAACCAAGCTTTTGTCAGCCATGAAAACTATCATATGATGAAAAGAGATTCATATTCCAGACCTCCTCTAAACTGAATTTAAAACCCCCTTGCCGTGGGGTGCTGTGTTCAGGGCTGGAGCACTTCCTTCTGACTGCCTCTGGGGATTAGCTCTGCCAGTCCAACACCCCTCCTGTCATTACTCAATCCATCACTCTCTATCTCGCTCTCTCAGGACTCAACTGCTCCTGCTTCATGCTTGGCCCCACAGCAAGGTCATTGCAATCCTCTCCTTGCAGGACATCAAAGTCTCTGGGAACCCAGGCAATCTCTCCTCTCCCTGCCCTTTAATAACACCACTGTCCAGTGGCTGGTAGGGGAACCCAGGCACCCCCCCTTTGTATGGGGTTCCAGCACAGCAGAGGTAGATTAGGGGTTTTTGGGGCCCTGGGCCAGAGTATGTGAGGGCCCCTCCCCACCTCTTCTGCCTGCAGTCCCCCCTGACTGCCTCTGGCACTCCTGCTGGGGAAATGGGGTCAGGGCACAGGGGCTTGCCCTGCTCCCTGGCAGGAGCACTGGGTGGCTGCCCATTTTTCCAAGGGCCCCCCAATTGGCCAGGACCCCTGGGCACAGTCCCCATTGGCCTAGTGGCTAATCCGCCACTGCAGCCTAGGGACCATACAACAAGCAGTCAAGGTCTGCATAGTCTTACTGCTAGATTCCTGAGCTACTTCCTCCCTTATTGTCTCTCACCTTGATAGTGAGTGCAGTTTCTCTCTCTCTTTCTCTCCAGCCCCCTTCTACTCTCAGCTCCTGCCTTTATATAGGCCCCTCCTGTTCCTGTCCAGCTGAGCATCATCTCTAATTCATCCCTGTTCCCTGGCTCCTCCTCCAGGGGCAGCCTAGGGGGTTAATTAACCCACCTGCCAATTTAACCCCTTCAGGTCTTGTGTGGGGTGGATATGCCATCACTTCCCTGTTATACTCTGCTCCTATCTCCTGTCTTTGTAATCACTATACATGGTCATAGAATCATAGAATATCAGGGTTGGAAGGGACCTCAGGAGATCATCTAGTCCAATCCCCTGCTCAGAGCAGGACCAATCCTGAGACAGATTTTTGCCCCAGATCCCTAAATGGCTCCCTCAAGGATTGAACTCATAACCCTGGGTTTAACAGGCCAATGCTCAAACCACTGAGCTATCAGGTGTTCAGGGACAATATTATGCTGCACATTTCTTCAGGGTGAATCTCAAGAGGGATGATCTTGCAAGTCACTGAGCATCTCCTAAGATTCCCATTGATGTCAGTGGGAGATGAGGGCTCTCATGCCCTCTAAGAAGGATCTTGGCACCTTGCAAGACCTGGTTCAAGTGTACCAGTGTCAGTTTGAACCCGCAAGTTTGAATGCCCACCCCAGTTAGCCAGATGTCTTGGCAGGAATTTTCAAGAGACCAAGTTTTCTCCTGAGATTTCTAATGCTGCCTCTGCTGTGTTGGAAGCAGAAAGCACAAAGAGGCATGGAAATATAAATTAATGAGAGCACATATCAGAAAGTTCAGTGTTTGATTCTAAAAATGGGGGAAAGGGTTTGTCGCGGAGGAAGAAGAGCGTTCCTATTTTATTCTCAAGGTGGTTTCCCTCCCTTTATCCTACCTATTCTGGTTGGCTTTGGCAGACTCACCTACCACTATTTATTGAAGTGAGAACCTTTTTGGTATTGTGGGGCAGGTTCATGGGAGGCTAGAAAGAGTCTGAGGCAGCATGTAGGGAGTCTGCCAGAGTGCGAGGGAGATCAGCAATTTGGGCAGCCTGAGCAGAGCGGGCAATAGCACATGCTGTTGATAGTGTGACTTTTATTTACAGGTACTTAGGCACCTGACTCCTATTGATTTCAATGGGAGTTAGTGCTTAAACACCATTGAGGATCTGTCTCTTATACCGTTTTTGGTCAGTTATTGGTCGTCTGTAGCTTTTGTGGGCTATTTTACATTTGCAAAGCCAAGGTCCCTGACCACCTGCTTTTTCTGCAACTGTTCAGATGCAAAAAGTGCTGGATGTGAGTTTTTAAGACCTCCTAGTACAACTGGATGAAAAGGTCACCAAAGAAGGAAAAATTTTCCCAAGAAACTCCCCTGATGTCAAAAAATGCCCAGATAGGTTCCTAATCACTCCTCACACCAGGTGTAGAATTCTGGACTTAATTAAGTAAGCTGGGATTAACATGTCCCTGAATGAGAGAGTTGGGGAAGGTATGGTTACATGAGCCACCTGCTTCATGTTTTCAAGACGTAGACTGACGTGCCAGGGTGACATCATGGTGTTAGCTGCCCAAAGTTAATGCGTTGTGTGCACTAGCACGGTGTGTGACAGAATTTCAGCTGCTGAAGCGTGGAGATTAATGACCTCACAACTCTGGAGACTCTGTAGAAATTGTTGTGAATAGTGGCTCTGCTGAAGTTATTAGAAGCTTTGCCTTTGACTTCAATGGGGCCAGGATTTCACCCCAAATATTGTTAGGCAATGGTGACCAGTCAGGAAAAATGGAGGATAGAAAAGTGTTAGGCAACAAGAAGTACCATGAAGGAGCCAATCAAACTGTACAGCGATTTGGAGTCAAATTTAAGCGAGATAGTAGGGGACTAAAGACTCACTTATTTGTAACATCACTAGTAGTACTGGTGCTGAAGTCCTTCAGGTGTGTTCCCAGGTCAGCTAGGAATATGTGTCAGAGGTAATGAGAATGCGAATGACAGTGGGGGGACAGTGTGGTCCTGGCAAAATATAGTGAGGCTGAGTTGAACAGAGGGAGAGAAGCATGTCAGAGACAAATAAAACAGGAAACATTATCTCAGCAAAAATGAAATAATAGTAGAGAATGGGAGAAAAAGGAATCGCTGTTCCTGAAGCAGGCACATGACCACATTATATAACTTCTGCTGCTCTGACGTCATTAATTTCCTATTAAACACACATATTATGGAAAGCAAATATTCATACTGATATGCATCTAACTGGATGGAGCATTTTAGTTATTAATCAGAAATGGATAGTATAATGTTCATAAAAAGTCAAGCGTGGAAATGAAATTTGAAAATATTTTTGCAGGGAATGTTTTTTTCATTTCAAGAGTGTGTGAGATTTCCTATTGATTTGGTTTATTTATGGCTTCCATGAATCATTCTGAGTCTAGTCAGATGAACTTATGGAGGAAAAGGATATTGAACATTTTAACAAAGATCTTATTGATACTGTAAAAAGATATTTTGAGGTATGATTTCAATATATATGAGATACCTATGAGTAATACGTGTGAGTGCTTCTACGCTGTTTCATGCCATATTACCTCCCATTTACCAAAATTTAGGATAGTTAAAACGGGATTCGTGATTTTAAATAAGAATATACCTGACAGCTCTGTGGATCACTATATAACAGGTTCCTTTTTCTTGTTTCTATGTATTCATATGCCTAATTGGACATGATCTGAATATTATGAAAAGGATAGTATTAAATACCCCCTATTATATTGGAAACATAGTTATTCCAGTTTCTCCTTTGAAATGAGATTGTTTACCTTCCATTCTGATCAGCTGCTTGTATGTTACAACCTCATGGTGAATGCTGCAATGAAAAATCAGAGCTTTATGGTATTAGTAAATGGGCAAAACTATCTATCTGTCTGTCTGTCTGTCTGTCTATCTATCTATCTAAAATATGCTTTTTGAGTAGCGGCCTCAGTGAAATGGTCTGGTTGTATTAAATCATTTCCTCCTGAACAATTGTGAGTACAAAACTGTCACACAATTGTCATTAACTGGCACCCTTGTTGGTAGGCTCATCAGAGAAGACAAAGACTGAATTACCATGAAAACGAAACTTCTGGAAGGAGTCCCTCTAGATTATGGTTGTGGCTTGTTGGCAGGGAATGATGGGGAAATGTAAATTGCCACTGTGTATGCTGTATCTGTTTTGTGGATAGAGGATTTCAGCCTCCAAAGATGTCAATTCAGCAGCTTTCACAAGCACTAAAAATTCACTCAAAACATTAAAATTAGGAGAAAAAATGTGATAAAGGGTTAATATGCTGTGTGAATGCTTGTTTATATCTCTATATTGTTACCATCAGGGTGTTGATGAGCACGTATTTATCCATAAGCCACTAATTTACTGCCACTTTGCCCATGGTGTTGGAGAACCTTGTTACTTTCCAGTATCTGATTGGGAGAAGCTGACCAGAATTTTAACAGATTCATTAGAGCACTACAATGAGCTTCATGCTGCAATGAATCTTGTTCTTTTTGAGGATGCTATACAGCACATGTAAGTTTCCTTACTTTCAGTTGGTATAATGTGTGCTCTAACAAAGATAATCACTGAAGTGCAAATTCGTTTAAAGGTGACCTGCAAGGGTATTAAAAATAACCTCACATATCTTTAGAGCGGTGTGCTGAGTGCCCCAAGTGACCAGACTAAGCCAGGCATTTAGCACTGTTTTAAAATAAAATGTAACAGTTTTTACTTTTAAAGGTTCCAAGAAACCTCGACCCACTGTGAATTGTTGGCTTCCTCTCAGTGTGACCCACCAAGCAGGCTGCTGATCACATCAAATCCACAGTAGAGCCCTGAGGCAGACTGCAGCTTTACCCGTTACGATATTTTAAGACTCGTTATTACAATATTATATTGATTTCAAACATTTTACATTTCTATGTGGGAATGAAATAAAGGCTATTTAAAAACACTTTAGAAATCTGCACAATACTCTAGGAAGGGGGTTTAATTAACTCCCCAGGCTCACTCCAGTCTGAAGTGGGATTCTGTGGTGAATATGACATCTCCTGTTTAGTCCATGCCAGGAGATCATCTACAACAGGAGGTATTGATCCAGTGTGTCTAGACTTTGCAGAGGCTAAAAAAGAGGGGTGGGAGGAAGGGAACTAAAGTAAGATTTACATTTTTAAATCCCTTTGGGGGGATTTTTTGGGGGCATCCCTTGCATGTTTTGTAAGATGATTGTTTATTGATAAAATTATTTTACAGGCCATTTTTAATACAGACCTAAGTTTTGCACCTAGAGAGCCAAAATTTAGCTCTGTTTTAACTCCATTGTCTTCTGCTTTGTTAGGTTTATTTAATTATTTTACATTTATTTTAGCCCAAACATGTGCTAGACACTCACTGCATGTGTAAGTTAGGATTACTCACATGAGCTAAGATTTGCAGGATCCGTTATTAAAATTAAGCGTTCACAGATTTTGCTGTTTGTTCACTTTTTGCATTCCATTTAGCTTAAATAGTAAAACTATTTTGCTTTGTATATGATGTTTCACCTTCTGGTTCTTATATATTTGTACAATGCCAGTGTTTTTGAGCTCACAACATTATAGGTGAAATTTAAGTCCCCATCCCCTGCCAAATCCCGCCCTTCCCCCCCCCCCCGTCACTAAAATGTGATACAAAATAAGAAAATATTTCTGTTTGCTGGTTTTTGGAATCCCTGCCCTCCCTTCCTTCCCCCCATCCTCGAAGCCTAAAATGGGGGTCTGTATCCCTCGGCACAGCAAAAAGGCCTCTCAAAGATACCTATGAATTGTGAACAATATGTTCCATTTTGAGAAATGTCATTAGATTCACCTTGAGACAAAACTAGAAATACAAGTCAATGGTGGAGGATCCCCAAAGGAATGTAAAAATTCTTCCACTGGGCCCAGAGCAAAAAGCATATTAGCTCTTCATCTTGTTTGGATTTTGTTAATCAAGAAAAATGTACTTAATTACTCCGACAGGAAGCAGTGCATGTAGAGGCTGAACTGAGCCTGAGACCAGATGTCACGTAGCCTGAGAGAGCATAAGTTTCTTGTGCTACTTCACTGTTAATAGAGTAGAACCTCATCAATTATGGTAGCTAAAAGAACTCTATATTTTACTCAAGTGGGAATGTAATTAAGCCACATGATAGAGGCTTTGTCCTTTTACTGCTGTACATAGTTGGTTTTGTCTTGACAATCTTAAATGATGTTTTTGTTCGACGTTTTTCAACATGGAAATTACAGGAACAGGCAATTGGGGAATATATTGACTGGTTCATATCTAGTTCACCAGTTTGAATGCAGTCAGTGACAGTAGTGACCAAAAGTGACTGCCATCTGCTGGCTGTATTTGAAGAAGGTCTCAGTCCAGTTCCTAGTAGATAGGTGTCCACATCCTACAGATTACCACTGGCACTAGCTGGTAGTTCCAGCAGAAAAGCCAGAGGCATACATAGGGACAGGAGTACTCTGAGGTATTCTCTCCAGGTTAGAGTTTAGGCACATGGGAGGGCTTTGTGACGATGCCTGCAGTAATCCAGACCATGACATCGCACATCTGTTCTGTGAATAAATTAAGGGATTTACACTACGTGGGAGCTTTCACAAGCATTACATAAAAAATAACAGGAATGCTTAATTAGTAGAGGTGGGCCCAAAGCAAAAACCTCAGATCCAAGTTCCACCCCCAAATATTAGGAGGATGGCAATCCAGACTGGGACTTTGCAGCTTGGATCTTTCTGTGAAAATCACACTAGCATTTTCTAGCCCATAATCTTTGATAGATTACATACGATGGAAATGTCTGCTACCAAGCAAAAATAAAAACAACTGTGATTTAATCTCATTTCCATAGGTGTCATGTCAGCTGCATTCTTGAGGCCCCATAATTGGAGTTGGAGGTAAGGGCAAGCAAAGTTGGTGCTGCTTAGCAGCCTTTCTCAGCTCCCTGGCAGTTTTCCAAATAGCTCTTGGTAAAGGAAATGCTATTCATGATCTCAGGGTAAAAGTTTTAATTTCTTTTGACATACTGTTTTCATTTCACAACATTCATTGAATTACCCACTTTCTGTCAGTCAATGATGGGAGATTACTTGCTGTACATGAGCAATGAATAACAGATTATTTTATATGTGTACACATGTCTGTGCATAGCGATGGAAGCCCTCAACACGTGATTGTGGGTTTTGCCTCTCCCAATCACTTCTGTAAAGTTGTATGTTGTGAGCCTAGACATGTATTGATTGGTTTCCCCCTTACCAGAAGGAACATCCAATAGTTTGTGAAGATGACTTTCTGGCTGCTTTGTACTGAGTGGTGCAAAGCAGCTGAAACAGGGGATATGTCACACTGTATACATTTTTTTTATGTGAATTGTTTTCTGTCTCCTTTTTTGTCTTTCATCTCACAGTCTCTGCTAAGGAATCACTAACCAAATCTCATTTAATTCTGAGTTTAACTTTCAAACTCTGTGTTTGAGAGGATTAGAAATTAGGCAAGGTAAATTCACCCAGTTTAGCATGGACTAAATCACTAAAGCACACATAATATCTTAAGCTTAACTGTGGCCAGCTTTTGTTTGTGACCTAACTGTGGCAATTGTTCATATTGGCCCGTAGCCATAACATCTCGACTAAGGGCCAAATTTACTAGCTGGAAGTCAGTGGACTTGTATGACAGAGTAATTTAGCCTCGAGAGAGAGAGAGAGAGTTTGTGTGTGTGTGTGTGTATATATATATATATAAATCAGTGGATAACTTTATTTCATATTGCTGTAGTTCCTTAAAAATAAAAGGGGCTTTACCCCATTGTAACTGACAGATTAAAATATAAAATTTATAACCTTCAGAAAATACATGGTCAAAACTATGATGTTATTACCAATTTCCTAAATGCTTATTTCTATAAAAGAGTAGAAGAGCTCCAAAGAAGGCTCTAAGTAACTAAGAATATGGTCATAATTACAAAAGTAAAAATAAGTTTTACATTTATTATACATAATATAATATAAGTAATTAAAGAATATTATGTAATAGAGTCAGATAGCAGAAACTCAAGCTACAGAAAAAAGATTTGTTAGTGTTCTCATCAGCAGAATCTTGCGATCGAGAAACTTACTCCTGTATGTCTAAGAGGAAGGTGGTAGGTGGTAGTTTTCTCTTTCAGTATTTCATCCTGGGGAGCAGGGCCGGCTCTGGCTTTTTGGCCGCCCCAAGCAAAAAAAACAAAACCAAAAAAACCCCAGGGTGGCCAGAACTGCAAAGCCAGGGTGCAGTGGGACGTGCCCGGCTAGCGGAGGAGAGGGGGAGGGAGCGAGGGGGAGAAAGAGAGAAGGGGGGCGGCCAGGGCTTCAGCGGGGCGCTACCATGCGGCCCCAACCGCTGCGCCGCCTGCTGCTCCGGTCGGCTGGGAGGGAAGGACATGGACTGCCCTGCCGGGCTTGCTGCAGGGTGCTCCCATCCTCCGCGCCGCCGCCCCCTACAGGGTGGACGGAGCAGCACAACAAACCAAAACCAAAAAAAAAAAAAAAGCGGCCGTGCCGCCCTAGGATTGGGCAGAATGCCGCCTCGAATAATCTGCCGCCCCAAGCACCAGCTTGCTCGGCTGGTGCCTGGAGTCGGCCCTGCTGAGGAGATGAATATTTCAACATCGTCTGGCAAAGAATTCCACAGGGTGACTGTGTGTTGTATGAAGAAATACTTCCTTTTGTTTGTTTTAAACCTGCTGCCTATTAATTTCATTTGGTGACCCTTAGTTCTGTGTTATAAGGAGTAAATAACACTTCCTTATTTACTTTCTCCACACCAGTTATGATTTTATAGACCTCAATCATATCCCCGCTTAGTCGTCTCTTTTCCAAGCTGAAAAGTTCCAGTCTTATTAATCTCTCCTCATACGGAAGCCGTTCCATACCCCTAATCATTTTTGTTGCCCTTTTCTGAACCTTTTCCAATTCCAATTATCTTTTTTGAGATGGGGCAAACACATCTGCATACAGTATTCAAGGTGTGGGCGTACCAGGGATTTATATAGAGGTAATATTATATTTTCTATCTTATTATCTATCCCTTTCTTAATGATTCCCAACATTCTGTTCACTTTTTTGACTGCTGCTGCACATCGAGTGGATGTTTTCAGAGAACTATCCACAATGACTCCAAGATCTCTTTCTTGAGTGGTAATAGCTAATTTAGATCCCATCGTTTTATTTGTATATTTGGGATTATGTTTTCCAATGTGCATTACTTTGCATTTATCAACATTGAATTTCATCTGCTATTTTGTTGCCCAATCACCCATTGTTGAGAGATCCTTTTGTAGCTCTTCGCAATCTGTCTGGGACTTAACTATCTTGAATAGTTTTGTATTCGCATATGATAGTCAAAGTACTGTTGTGGTTTTTTAAACAATGTGTTCTGCACTGGATTTATGCATGCCTTTAGTGTCCATACTTTCCCATGTAAAAAACAAGAATAGAGTATGCCACATGAAGAATTTGTATTCATCTACA